CTGAACTGAACCCAAGAGTTCTGGGCAGACTGGACCGGGCTTTCTGAGCAGAACCAGAACCTGGAAACCTTCATTTTGATTTTTATTTTAAAATAAAAACTAAATAAATCTTAGATCCTTTGGACCAAACTTCACGTGCACAAAAATACCAGATGATGATGATGATGATGATGAAGAGCGTCATCAGGTGAATCTGGAGCATTACGTCATGGTATCATGCCCCCCCCACGCCATCCCGAGCAGACCTCCACCCTGATTGGACAGCTTGCCAGCTTCCAGCGCAGCCCATTGGCTGATCACAGGGTCACGTGATCGGAGTCAGGGCAGGGAGCAGCTGCAGGAGGAGGGGAGGATGCTCCAGATAAAACCAGCACCGCGTTCAGCCGAACCTACAGAACCTTTGGCAGGACGGCGGCCCCAGCGTCCAGGAGGAAGCCGGTTCCGAGCTTCTAAGAGCGGCCAGAGGAGCAGAGGTAAGGGGGGGCTCCGGTGGTTCTTACGGTCCGGTTCGGTTTGATGCGGACTGATGGTTCTGGTTCAGGTAGACAGATGTTTGCTCCTCCAGCAGCAGCAGCGCCGCCCAGTGGCTGCAGCCGGAACCACAGCAGGTGCTGCATTCACTGGTAGCTAGGAAACCGGAACTATTCATCTGTTTGGGTTTAGATGGTTCAGCTTCTGCTGGGAGGCTTTCAGGTTCGGAACCGTCCTTTAGGGTCCAGATCAGGAACCGGACCGGTTCCTCCACAGAGATCTCAGCTTCCAGCATCATTTGAAACAGGAGCTGGGTCAGAACCTTCACAGAACCTCAGATGCACTAGGACAGACGGTGCTGCGTTCAAAGACCTCTGTAAAAACAACATTTCCTCTATTCAGGTTCCCTGGTCTCACTTCTCTGAGATTTAAAGTGTTGGTAACAGAGCCGGTCCTAGGAAATTATTTATGGGCTAGCTAAGGGATTTCTAGAGGTGGCCACATTAGCATGGTGCTTAACCTACATCGGAGTATTAGGGCCAGGCTAGGGATTTTTTCTTCTTCTATTACGAGAATAAAGTCTTTGTTCTTGTAATTTTATGACTTTTATTCACATAATTTTATTACTTTATTCTCTTAATGTTACGACTTTATTCTCGTAATTTTACAAAGTTATTCTCGTAATTTTACAACTTTATTCTCGTAATGTTACGACCTTTTTTCTCGTAATTCTATGACTTTATTCTTGTAATGTTACGACTTTACTCTTGTAATGTTACAATTTTAATCTCGTAATGTTACGGCTTTATTCTGTTAACTTTACGACTTTATTATCGTAATGTTAAGACTTTATTCTCGCAATTTTATGACTTTATTCTCGTAATGTTAAGACTTTTTTCTTGTAATTTTACGGCTTCATTCTCATAATGTTACAAATTTATTCTCTTTATTTTACGACTTTACTCTCATAATGTTACGACATTTATTCCCATAATTTTATGACTTTATTCTCATAATTTTATGACTTTTATTTTCGTAATTTTACGACTTTATTCTTGCAATTTTACGACTTTATTCTTGTAATTTTACAACTTAATTCTCGTAATGTTACAACTTTATTCTCGTAATGTTACGGCTTTATTCTCTTAACTTTACGACTTTATTATCGTAATGTTAAGACTTTATTCTCGCAATTTTACGACTTTATTCTCGTAATGTTAAGACTATTTTCTTCATTCTCATAATGTTACAAATTTATTCTCTTTATTTTACGACTTTACTCTCATAATGTTACGACTTTTATTCCCATAATTTTATGACTTTTATTTTCGTAATTTTACGACTTTATTCTCATAATGTTACGACTTTATTCTCGTAATGTTAAGACTTTATCCTTGTAATTTTACAACTTTAATCTCGTAATGTTACGACTTTATTTGCGTAATTTTACGACTTTATTCTCGTAATTTTACGGCTTTATTCTCTTAATTTTATGAGTTTTATTCTCGTAATGTTAACACTTTATTCTCCTGTTACAAGAATAAAACAATAAAACTATGGGTCGACATCTGCTCAAGCTTTTCTTTAACTGAGAACTGGAACAGATCTATAAGATGCGGATCTAGACCCTGCTTCTATTCAATGTTCTTCTGGAGCATGAAGTTTCTGATGAACAGATCCTCAGATCCAGTCCAGGAATAGAATAAGAATCCAGACCCAAACCCGGTTCCACCATGTTCTATTGAAAGATGAACCGGCAGCCTGTGTTTGGATCTGAGGTTGTTTTAGTGTGCGGTACCAGGCTCAGTTCCTGCTGCTGCTCATACCAGAACCGACCCAGAACCGGTTCTGTTAATCAAACAGGAGAACCAAACCCGGATCTCTGGATGTTCCAAGCTTCAGCTCCTCCTCCTCCTCATGCGGCGGCGGCGATGAAGAGGAGCTGACATGATGTTGTGTAATGAGCTCTGCAGAGTGAAACTGGGTCAGAGTTTGTTGCTCACTCTGGTTTATGTAACCAAGTTCTGCAGCAGCAGCGTTCTGCTGACACCGTTAGACTCCCAGAATCTGCAGGTAAACCAGAAGATCTGGTCCCGGTACCTGGGGGGGATTTACCATTAGGCAATTCTAGGGAGTTGCCAGGGGCCCCAAGTTCCTGGGGGCCCCATAAAACTCTGTTTCCATGT